ATTCTGCCTATACTACATACAACTATACAGTATTTCAGATTATTAGTTTATTGACTGTAATCACTATTGAGAAGGTAACTCACTGTTGCTTTGTATTTCACTAGGATCAATTCAGGCATCAATATTGTCATAGACCATGCACATGTAGCCATGCAAATCATACTTTGACGTACATCAGGAATAAACTAGCAAATTGCCGCCCCCCTGGATATTAGTCATATGAAAATATCTCAGAAAATATAGACACAGACTGTTTATATTAGATCCGAGCATTCCGAGGATTGGGATTACCTAAGTAAGCAGTTATTCAAGCGATTAATTTGTGTTTGTGCTTCTAACTTGTGCATGGTTTCTTGTATCATAGATATATTTCTTAGGATTTCATATCAAATTTTAGCAGGTACGTCCCTGCAATAACCTAAACATAGTAATGATTAAAACTCAAATAAGCTAATTAATATAAAATTAAATTCTTTGTATGTTTGCATGGTGATAAAATATAATAGTTTTGTTTGTGGAAACACCACGTAAATTTATTACTGAAAAAAAATAATAAATTTACGATAATATAATTTTTTTAATAATTTTATTTATTTTTTTTATATTTTTTTTTGAAATTTTTTTTTGTATTTATTTAATAATTTATTTATTTTTATAAAAAAAATTTTTTTAATTTTTTTTTTTTAAATTTTTTTTTTTTAATTTATTTTTTTCAGTAATAAATTTACGTGGTGTTTTCACAAACAAAACTATAATATAAAATTGTTATATAATATAGCAATTTTACAGACAAGCTTCAAATTTTTAATTTTCTAGATTTTCTTATACGGTATTTTGTGGCGTAGTGTTGCTCGCAAGGGAACATCCAATTTGACTGTAAAACTCCTCTAATTTCTGGTTTTAATTGTAATGATTTTTTAACTGTTTTTCTAGAGACACAGTTTCTTTCAAGAGTAATTTGATAATTTGCATAATATATTAGAATGTGTTTTTCTAAATTTTATCATGCATGTGTATTAGTGGGCAAGTTACATGAAAGTATTTTCTCATACCAACCATTATAAATCTTAGATCTTTCGCAGATACTTGTACGCTTAGCGTACCTATATTTAGAAAATGATAAGATCTGCTGCGAAGAAGCTTGAAATGGACGAACGATGAGTTACTTAATTTAATTTATTAATTAACACATCAATAATCTTTGCACAGTTCACACTTTCTACTAAAAAATAATGCAATTCACAAATCACAGTTTTCAAACCGATGTAAGAGATACGCGACTACGGTGGATGATCAGCTATAGATTTATGTATCTTCTGGAATTCTTAAATCTTAATTTCCATCTCAAGGATAGGAAAATGTGGCGATGCCGTTGCCAGTCAATACTGCTTGCACTTAGCCTCCTCCGCAGGCATCTCGTAGTTCACGTACTTCAGAAAGTCGGTGAGATGCCTGCCAAAACCCGACATGGTTGAGCCGTTCTGCGCATCTTGCTTGCGCAGCGATTTCGTCTCTAGGGTATGCACGTGGGGAGGGATTTGTCATCCAAGATGGCGGATTGCATGGAGTGAAGAATTATGAAAATTAGTGAATTTATATTAATACGCTCGCTAAAGGCGGCTAAACGATTAAGAATACAGCTTTTGTGGACAATTGAAAGAATCTTAACCCGGAAATTAAAATTGTCATCAAATAATTTACATGTTGTCAGTTGACATATATTTTTGTATATCTGTAGATGGAAAACATCGAGGTTGACATATATTTTTGTATAAACTGTAGATGGAAACAGAAATATTGTTGTAATCTTTTAAGCACTATAAAGGTAGACTTTGTGTTAATATCACAATGAAATGCATTTAATTTCATATAATATTTTTTGGATCAATAATTAGTTGTTTTGTGTTTTAAATAATTGTTAATGTCTGGCTGGCATAATTATTTAAAATAGTACAATTATCATGTACAGTTAGTTCATGATTGTTAGAAGCAGGACAAAATTGCCCTACATAGGATGTGTAGAAATGTAACAAGATAAAATATATTTCAGCATGATAATTGTGGACCCAGTGTTAATAGAAACCAAAGCAAGAGCCAGATTGATTTGAGTGAAAAAGCCTTGGTCTGGTGTTTGGTTGTCAGATTGGCCGAGTATGCCAATCAGTGAAGCAACATCCAAGGTGACGCCACTGTCTGAAATCTAAAATTAGCTGGGTTCACTTACTATATTAATTCACTTACTATACTATACTATACCATACTATACTATGTCTTGTTTCATGTGTGCACTAGTGTCCAGTACCTGCATGGTGTAAATTGCATTGTACAATCCAGCAGTTAAACAATAACGTGGTAGATGATTGTGATAACATAATTTTTTAATCCAAATGAACATGTTGAATTTCAGGGTTTCTATGCAAGAAACTATGTGCTATTTTGCATGTCTGAGATGGAGACTAAGGTGCTGCATCCTAGAAAGTGTGAACCAGCAAGGTTTACATTGTACAGTTAGCAGCATCAAGGCTACAACACGTGGACAAGCAACCATTGTCAATGACAACATTGATCAAGCATGTCATAACCTGCCAGATAAAATAGTGACATAATTGAACATGGCCAGCATTCTGTTCTGCTGACACCTTTAATATATAACATGTTTTTAATGGATGAAAATGGGATAAAAAAATAAAAGTAGTGTAAACTGTTGTCTATGCTCACAATTTCCCTCTGACTTATTTTTAAATCACATCGCCTTTTATCAGAAATTGCATTGCAAGTTGCAGATTTACTAGAGGGGGTGCACCCTCCAAGCCCTGACAGGAGAGGGTGAAGGGGGTGCTTTTTTCATGATAAAGCAAAAAATAATAGAGACAAAATGAGATACAGTAATTTGAGCAATAACATGATGATAAGCAAACTGTGAACAACAATTCAAATTCAAATGTAGTATGTTGATGGGCGAGTGGCACACATGACTGACACAACTCTGCGCCAGAGCTTCAGTGGTGCCGCCAGCTCGATAATTGGGGGGGGGGGAATGTTCATATCTTCATTGTTTTTATGCTCTGTGAACACAAATATATGAATATTCGCCCCCCCCCCCCAATTATCGAGCTGGCGGCACCACTCTGCGCAGAGCAGCCTCCTACCAGATCATGCTGGATCGATCCCTGTATTATTTTATTTACACATGGAGGTTATCTCTTTTGGTGGCGTAAAGGCATGTTTCTTGACACAAGTGACAATCCAAATTTTTAGATGGCTGTTTAAAATTTTAGTCAGCTGGATGGCAGGCTGGTTAATACCATGCAGTAATGCAGTAGAATAATCTTGAGCATAACATCTAACATAATACAGCAACAATATAAATTGTATAACTTTGCTTGATTTATAGTTACTGAATATATAAACACTTCTTACATTTGGTCAACTTGCACAATAGTTGCTTGAAATTTGTGTTACAAGCACAGTCAGCACTAAGCAGTTTACTCAGCGTTTACATAGTTGTTTACATGCTGTACATGTACTCAACAAATTCCCGAGATATTTCTCGCTATAGTAACATACAGCGTAAACATACAGCGTAAAAACACATGGGATTGTAAATTTGAATTCAAGAGGCAAGAGCATCCATTATCCAGTTGAAATTTTGACATTTACCACTCCATCTGCATTCTAGAGTATTCCATTTCCCAAAAGTATTAATATTTGATGTTATATGCATGTAGGATACAGACCAAATATAAATTGAACGGTTGCAAAAATTCGTATAAATTCCATTCACATTTCACACTTCGTCTTTCGATACGATTTACATAGTTTCGGCGTGGTTTGACCATCTGTATTTCGTTAAATTCCGGCCATCCGTTGTAAGTGCAAAATAATCAATGTTTCATTCATATTTGTTTCAATTTGCAACATAAAAATGATATTCTCGATCGATATTTTTTCGAATTGTGTGATTTTGTGTCTGAATATAAAAAGATCGTATCCTATGGGAGTAGGGGTAACACAGCTTTTGACATTTTGTAGTAGTTTTGATATGAACAATTAATCCCATGGGGGTGGGGGTAACATAGCCGGTCCACAAGGGTTACATAGCTGGTCCAAAGTCTTCGGGTTTTGGCAGGCATCGCCACTATTAATTTTTTTACCTGCAAGAAATTTTGCCCGATAATCGAAAGGCGATGCCTGCGGAGGAGGCTAGCTTGCACTGTCGGCGTACCCGCACGACCATATATCAAGTAGAATTTAGTGGAAGGGCATTTATCTTTCTGGAATGCTTGCTTGACGTTAACGTAGTACTGTGCACATCCTGTTTGGTCTCCACTGTTATAACATGGATATATCTTGGTGCCTATGTAAACGAAGAATGGATCATTTGCATTATAGACTAAATTTTGATCTAGACAAAAATTTCATCACAGCTTGAAAGAGCATCACAAAATTAGTAATATTCCAAAGTTTCGTTGCGAAATGTTGTAAAATGCGGATAATATAGCGTTGCGAAGTTTGCGTTTTTCAGTCATTTTGTATTACGCATGGGAAATCGACAGCCCAATCGGGTGTTGGGGCATCAATTTCCCATTTGTAATACAAAATGACTGAAAATTGCAAATTTCACAGGGCTATATTATCCGCGTTTTACAACATTTCGCAACGAAACTTCGGAATATTACTACTTTTATGATGCTCTTTCAAGCTGTGATGAAATTTTTGGCTAGACTTGTCTAGATGAAAATTTTAGTTATAAGGGGAAAGGTCCATTCGCAGGTCATATCAACTTCATGCAGACAATTCAAAATAGAAATAGACTATACTCAACATAGCTATTCTGAAAAGCACGTTCTATTCTAGAAGAACCAATGAGAAGAGCTCAGTTCCTTTTATTGTTCTTCCCACTACTGTGTAAACTGTGTTCCCACTGAGTTTGCGGTTCTTTCCTAATTTTGTGACGTCCGTAATATTGTGACGTCATAGACGCACAACAATTTGTATCCCATGATTCTGACGAACTCACTCCCAGCTCGATCTTTCTTGTCTTTTTGGATCCCGCCTCGAAGGAAGGACACAGCATTCAGTCAGACGAAATTTCCCTGGATTTCGTTGACAGCTTGCTTAAATTATCGTTTTATATTTTTTAATTTCTTTCATACATGTGGGGTGTGTGTAAAGTTTCTGTTCGTCGCCGTTTATTCGTGTACTGAAACGCAATTTTGTAACGAGATACGTCTATCCATGCTATCAACTGACTTTGAATGCTGTTGAATCGAATGTCATTGGGCTAGGAAGAAATCGTCGTATAAGAAGATTATATTTTGTTACCAACTGCGTATTATTCACATTATAGTTTGACAGAACTAATTTGGGAAGTTTTCAAAATACATACAGCAACAGTTTATTTACTGTCGATCGTGTATTATTGTGTGTCCTTATCGTCTCTTGTTGCGTAAACTATCCGATTTTGAAATTTACTATTGCAAAACAACTTTAATTCTGGTTACTATTGCATAACAATCGTAAATGGAGAAGATCTTATCCAAATTAGAAGACAAACAACGTGAACTTCATGGCAAGAAAGGACGAGTAAGTTGATCAAGTGTGACGAATTGAACTTGCTTGTGTGGCAACTACGATAAGAGATTTATTGATATTTTAATATAAATTGACTTCTCTTTCTGCTTTTTAGATTATAGTATCATGGAATAGATTTGCTCGTTCAGTTCGAGAGGCTGTTGAGTTTTACACCGAAGCCAAACAGGTATAAAGCTTTGTGCAGTTGAATTTTTTAATACAATATCGGTTTTGAAATGCTTAACATTCAAGCGACAAACATGTCTCTTCAAATTTGAAAAGTAAACAGTAGCTATACGTCTGAAGGCGTGTGGTCGTCATATTCCATTTTCTGGTGGGGAAATTGTGCATAAATTCTTGTAGAGACATGAGATTATTCAAATGAATGCTTAGATCCGTTTTAAAACAAAAACTAGTGATCTGTGTCGTCAAAATTGAAGTAAAAATCTAACAACAGTAAAACTACTTTTTAAATAATTAATATGTTTGAATCTGTCGCGTATGACAACAAGTCTTGACTATTCTCAGTTCGAAGAATATGGCTTTAAAAATTAATTTTGATTGATTTTACCGCTTTGTGCATTGCTAATTCACACTGATTGTTCTGGAGAAAATTAATATTGTCCTTGAGCTAGCGGCATCTGAAAAAACACTCTTCGAAAAGATATGACTAATTGTAAACATTTAATATGTAACCGTTGTTGTGGGTAAATGTTTTAGCCTAAAATGTTAGTAGATAATTTTCTTGAAGAACGTTTTGTCTGTGGATTTAATTAAATGTGCCCTGCTGTTTCAGAGAGGAAAGCAAGTTCCTTCTTGTCTGCATGATAGCTGTTTTGTTGAAATCACCTTGCCTAACCTTGTTGTAACATCATACCCTATCAATCAGCACAAGCTGACCTTGGTATTTTAATGTATTAAAATGTCAAGCGATAGGGTGAAATTGAGGAAGCCTATCTTGTTAGGAGACAAAATTATGTCCAAAGCAGACAAAATTATGAACATCACAATTTAAGAAGAATGGTTGCAATGACAATGGAAGTTGGCACACAATAACAAATGCTCATAAGAAACAAGAATTGAAACAAGCAGAAATATATAGAATTGTGGCATGCACACATCAAAGCGACACACCAAAACAAATCGATCTCTCAACATATATATGGGGAGGGGAAACATCAATACAATCACGGAATTCAATCTTCGGTTGGGGGATTACAAATTTTAGCAAGCGTTTTTAGTTTGTCTGTTTTTAATGTTATTTGAAAAAAACTGATTAAGAACAAGCTGTTTGAAACATAGTTTCTAAATTTTAATTTTTATAGTTTTCAAAGTTTTTAACATTTTAATTTCGATAGCCTCATTAAAAGATATTTTACCCATTGAGTGCTAGTGCTCTCCCCTTGATGAGTAAAATCACCTGGCATTAGACAGTGAAATAACAAAGTAGTTTACATTGGGCAGCAAATGCAACTTAATGGTTAACTAGACACATGGGCAGATAGTCTGATTAATCTCTCCTCTTTACAAGTAAAATTGTGTGCCGTTTAATAGACAGAGTAAAATAATAAAGTAGGGTGCAAGGGAGCCACTGGTTGGGTTGGATTTTTAAAGGCATTAAAGTTTGAAATATGAGAGATTCATCATGAGAGTTCCAGAAAACATATATGTTAGTCCTCAAAATGTTAAATTATTCTTAATACAAGTTTGCTTGAGAAAACCTTGTTTTTATCTGCCATTATTCAAACACTAGCCCTGAATGTTTCAGGCTACAAGCAGGCTATTCAAACACTTATTGGGAACAGTTGTCCCCCCCCCCCAATCTAGTTTGTATTAATATGTAAATTGCAAAATATATGTAATGATACATTCAGGCAGAGAGAATTAGAACTTACCAAACATTGAAAAACTTAAGCTTGAAGAAATTTGACTTCTGCAAGTTTGTGTTAACAACCAGTATTCTAGACTCGAACCCAGCCTAAACTAAACTATACTGTTGAAAGGAAATGCCTTGTTTGAGTAAGCATTGAAACCAGCTGTTCATATCAACATTTTTGTGTCACCATGGTCCCAGGTGTCAGAATGCTGCACAAATACAAGCAATGATGCCAGTAATTAGACCTAAAACAAGCTGAAACATGTCTGAACTCCTCTCAGATATTGGGAATAGTCTTGTTTATACTGTAATCCTAGCTACATGTGATCAAGTTCAGAATATGTGTGTCAACGAAGGGCACAAGCTGTTTATGTTGGTATGAACAAATTTGACTGAAATTTATTGCAGTTAATTAACTGTGGTTTAATAATTTAAAATAGATGGGCGAGAGAATTCCAAAGTTTCTTGGTATCCTGGTCAAATATTTTATGCTTTGCATCCGTATGCATGTAATAATTAACATTCTTTTGTGGTATAAACCATTGGCATTGGTTCAATATATGTGAAAGAGATTCTTTTAGAGTTTTACAGTGATGTGATTTTTTGTATTTTTACTGTAGGCTGAATTGTATGCCTGGGCTCAAAGTCTTCCAGACCAAGCCAGAAGAACAGTTTCCAAAGTTCCATTCCGAAGTCTTTTCCTGGCCATAACTCCATATTTGATGTATCTATTATTGTTTTCAAACTACAAGGTTATTCGAAAGTTACTTGGCCTCACTCTTGTTCCAAAACCAAACATGCACTTTTGTCCATCGTTGGAACTGTTAATATTCCGCTGTTTTCCTCATCAAATTTTAGCAAAGTTTGCAAACCCTGTATTTGACTTTCTTGCTGCAATTCCATATTTAATTCATTTTCCACTGCCAGTGCTTATGATTCTACATAAACTTGTGGACAAACGTCGTAGATCAACTCTCTTGTTTTACGTGTGGATTGCCGGATGGTGCAATTTTCTTGGTGTGTTTATCCAGTTTGTGTTCCCTACAGCTCCACCATGGTACATGGATAGCGTTGTATTTAGTCCCCAAGGTTCAGAGTTGAAAGCTGGTTATAATGAAGCTGGATTTCATAGACTTGATGCCATACTTGGTTTTCCATTGTTTCATAAACTTTATTCAGCATCACCAGTCAAGTTTGGAGCATTTCCATCATTACATGTGGCATGGCCAACAATTGTTTTAGTTAGCGACCCATGGGTCAGTGAACGTTTTGCTAAATTACATGTACTGTGGATAACTTGGGCTGCACTGTATTCAAATCACCATTATGGTGTTGATGCAATCGGCGCAATCATAATGGTTTTCACTGTACGATTTTTTGCTGGGCTTTGGAGTCCATTTTGCCATCATCTCACAAGTCTCACAAGTAGTAGTAGAAACAATAGTTATTCAAATTTATTGCAAGTCTAATTAAATTACCATGCTGAAAGGTCTTCTCTTTGGCAGACCTTGGCATATAGAGACACTATAAACTGATCAACTGTTAGAAAGTATTTCCAGTTAGTTTATTAGAACAATTTCATTTGTTGCAATCATGAAGACTGACATCACAATGATTTAACTTTGTTTTGTAATATAGGGAATGTACATGTTAGCCACGTAGATAAATTTAATTAAACATGGTGCATGTGCATTGTTAAAACTTTATCCTTGTTTTATCCCTTTTGAAAAGACTCTTGTCAAGGCTGATTTGGCAGAAATAGTTTCCCTCTTGCGAAACTAAACTAAAGTCTAAACCCTTCAAAAGCGTGTCCTCCAAGACAAGTGTTAGATAGTCACGAACAACAAAGTATTTCGTACCACTAAACTATATACCATGTATATAGTTCACTGTTTCGACTGTTTCGCACTTGATTAAGATGGGATAAGACTCGCTTTCAGTCCCCGTTGACTCAATAGCTCAATGGAACAACTGTCTAGAAACCTGAAGTCGCAGGTGCGCGGTGTCTTTCTGTGATGCAGTAATGTTAGAGATACTAGTATAAAGTGCCACCTACTATCATTGTAAGGGTAATCACGGTCATGGAAAACTCAGCATGAAAGTAGTAACATCAGCCTTCTTGAACCAATCCACTTAACACTTTACGCATCATTGTTTTACCTTCCATTAATTAGGACTGTTTTTGCATTGTCCTTACAACACATCTAGCATAGTAGCATCCTTATAATTTGCTATCAACTTCTTGACATAATTGTTGCGATCTTTTGACACCACCTTCGAGACATCATATTACCAATGCTATAATTTCTATATGAAATCCAGGCCGCTTTTCTTTTGTTTATTATTATTGATACTCATAAAGTGATTGTTTCGTTTGCATATTGAGTGTCCCTATTTTTATACTGGATAGTTTTATCAGTTCTAACTGATAATATACGATGTGAAATTACAACAAAAGTAAAAAAAACTGATTTTATGATGTGATGTCAGGATGTGAAATTATAACCGAAATTATAACTTTTTATACAATACAAGAAATTTGTGAATACTACAGTAGCGAAATTCGAAATGCTATCACTTGTAATTCACTTTGTAAAGGATTTCAAATATTTCCAGAGATGCCAAGTTTCAACGACAGGCTGACTGGAGACGCCGAAGCAACCTCGTACCTGCTTCGTACCCAGGCGGTTTGTTTAATGGATCAAATTAATCCATGCGGCCCACGCAAAGGCCACACAAGCCATAGGCATAGAATAACACTTATTTTTCACCCTGCTCGGTTTCGTTTGTTCTTATCGGGGAATATATTCAATATTCCCCTCTAATCAATTTCTGTTGAATAATTCCCTCTAATATTCACCTGCAGTGTCTTTGCAGCACAAAAAATGAGACTGAAACAACATAACGAAGGCAATATGGCATTAAGAATTATTTCTATTCTGACTCCTTAACGCGACCTCGCAATGTGAAAAATAAGCACCTCGGGGATATGTGTTTATTCACCTCGGCGCTACGCGCCTCGGTGAATAAATCACATATCCCCTCGTTGCCTCAAAATAACCTATACTTAGCGCCTAGCCTAGGTATGGCCAAGGGTCCTTGGTACAAGGTTGGCGCCCAAAAATTGCTCTCCTGGATTTTTGGCGGCGAAAGACTGCTCTCCTGCCTCCTGGACACTTTCCTGCATTCCGAAGTCATTTAATAACATATTTTGCTGATATTTCAATGACAGATGTTATGATATTGTTTGTAAGTATGAACCTCGAAATTACTAGCCATGCCACAACACCGTCGGAATGCTTTTGAAGTGCTCCTTTATCAGCCTAGACAAAGGCCTTTACTCGGCTGGCTTGCCAATCCTTTATTTATTGCACACCGATCAGCCTTCAATATAGGGAGAAACCTTCGTTATAAGGAGGAACCTTCGCTATAAAGAGGAACCTTCACTATAGAGAGGGACCTTCACTACAGGGAGGAACCTTCAAGGTTCCTCCCTGTAGTGAAGGTCAACCTTGACCTTCACTATATGGGGAAGGCAACATATACTAGAGGGACCAACATGGGGCTGTGGGGACTTCACCCCGGTGATATATTAGAATATGATGATTTTTCATACACACTGATAAATGACATGCCTAGCCTGTGAGCAGGCTTTTATTCAGATTGGGGGTAGAAAAACGATCACGATTATATAATATATAAGCGCCCTGCTCACGACCATCAAAGATGCTACCATCTTTCAATTAACTGACGCTACCGACCGGATCGAACTGCCTCAAAGGAGGATTAAAGTTATCGGACTGCTGAAACCTTGCTCTCCTAAGCGTATAGAACACAAATTTCCCGATGTCCAAAAACGAGAAACAAAATTTGCAGCCACATGTAACAGCTGGAATCATGCAAAGCACGTATTGTATTTTTATTAAATAATATTTACATGATTATGTACAATATATGCATGAATTCATTAATAAAGTCGTGCTGGACTTGTAGAACCTGTTGCAACAGTAACAGATGGTAACGTAGTTCGAGTGTCAATACTTCTATCTTCTTCTTGAAACTTTTCCACCACAGAGAGGAATTCTGGTTTTCGACTTCCTTTTTTGTCCACAAAACTCTTAAATGCTCGAGCACCATGTAACGTGGCTAGTTCGTTATCCTTTTAAATAAGAAATATATTATGAATGCCAAGTAACAGCGAATGCTCAGTAGCCGACAAAGTTCACTCGTGTAAGTCCTGCACCTGTAGTTCTTTGAACCATAGTCAATAGTATAGGAAGGTTAGGGAACTCGATGCAGACAATATACCTATCTATGTTTTTGTCTGGTTTATGCAAGAATGGTCGGTTCGTCGTCGCCTTTGTATTATTTTTCGCCCAACCAAGCCCAACCAACAATTAGCCATTCCGAAGTTGATGAGTGGACTGGGGACGAGTGTAAAAAGTGCCCAAATTAAGAAATGAACCAAATCACTAAAAAGACCTCCTCAAAATTAGTAAGTATACAAAGTTTGAAGACGTTTACATGGATATCCTTCGAATAATAAACTTTCGAAAATCGTGATATTTACTATGAAATGTATAAAATTTTTGTTTTTGGGACGCGCGTCCCAAAAACAATCTTTTAATCAGTAATTTCACAATTTTCGAAAGCTTATTATTCGAAGGGCATTCATGCAAACGTCTTCAAACTTTGCATACTTACTAATTTTGAAGTGGTCTTTTTAGTGATTTGGTTCATTTCTTAATTTGGGCACTTTTTAACACTCGTCTCCAATCCTCTCATCAACTTCGGAATGGCTAATATATAGGTGGTGTGCAAGTTACGTCCCCGTCGCCATGTTGGATGACATTGACAAAGGATTTTGCTTGTTCGCAATGCAAATATCCAACATGGCGAAAATCGCTTTGTCCTTTGAATCCCATGGGAGTGGTTGCACATCACCTATAACAATGTTGGTTTAATTACCCAATATCAATGCTAAATAAAAACATTGCTATTGGTTGCTCTAGCGAAAATACAATACACACGTGACGACGAACCGACCATTTTTGCTACATAAACCAAGACAAAAACATAGATAATAGGTATATTATGTCTGCATCGAGTTCCCTAACCTTTTCATTTTGATTGACTATGTCTGAACTTCTTTCGAGTGAGATCCTGATATTTACCCATATACCACCTTACACTGGCATCACCTTAGTACATATACATGAACTTGGGGTTAATTTTCAGCAACTGCCGCTCTGGAACCTAACCAGGAACAACTTCGAACTGAACTATATTCGTCCACTGGCAGGAAATCGAACCTGCGGCCCTGCGATTCCTGTGCAGCGCTCTAACCAACTGAGCTACAGAGTCCAGTTGTCGAGCTCTAACCACATGCAAGTTCATGTATACATGCTAAGGTACTGCCTAGACTTGCTCCAAGTCGCTCTTTCATTGTCAATTTTGTCATATAGTATCGGTCCACTATAGTGTACATTACATGACGTAGTACGGAGCGGCGGAGCGAGAAAGAGAGACTTGTCATCTTCGGAAAATCTCGGTTCAAAACTGAACCGAAAATGCAAGACTTGCTTTAATTGTTTTCCTTCAATTTCTTTCTGTATTATTTACTGTAACGGATCTCATGTTATTTACACTGTGCTAGATCAATA